ACGCGAAAGGGGAAATATGTCCTACGACTATTCGCCCCATATAATGTTTAATGTGGCTCTATCCGATCACAAATCAATTTCTGAATTCATCAAGGTAAAAGCAATCCCTTGCGTACTGTAGCACGGATAGCTAAAGTTCAATGGGAGCTTCTCCGCCTACGATATGCTTGCAATTCTCATCCCGTCTCTTTCAATTACTCTAAAGCAATGGAATCGTTTTCGCCTTGGAAGTAAGCTTGTGCCGGGAGGCCGCTTTCTCGAACTGGTGCGCAGCTAGAGACACCACTAGACAAGTCGTAGATCTCCGTTCTACTTAGCTTGGGTGCGGCGTGCTTAGGTCCCTGAATTTCCAGCAATCTGCATTCTAAGATCTCACCAGAGATCTCATAGGGCAGATCTCCATCTTACTAGAAGGACGAGCCAGTGTCTATATTACACCATGTCTCCAGCCTTAACGGAAAGGTCTCCAGTTATATCCTCTTCTGTCTTAAAGCTATCGTCTCCAAAACTAATAAAGGCCCGATGGCCCCTATAGGCACCGTCTATATGCTTAGGTTAATCACTAGGTTACTGAGTTGGTCGCCGCCTGTTCTCAAGTCCGTTGGAACCTTATTCATCAAACTCCAGTAGAGCATCAGGAATCATCGTCAGTCTGACAAACACGTTGTTATTTTTGTTAGTCTCAAGACGGTCCCCTTTCACCTTCACGATACCGAGCAGTCGAGTGAGAATGGGACTCAGCAAGCTTGATACATCTTGAAGAGACGGCTTCTGGAAACATAGTGGGCCTGTCGGCTTAACAGCTTAGAGTACGTTGATGCTAGTTCTAGGCATCGGCTCAACGCTATCTGTAGCCAAATTCATCCCACGGAACCTAGTATCTTCTGGACGACCAGCTGCGCGGTAACCTTTTCGCTCGCTGGTTTTCTGACACTAATAGGACCTTCGTATCCTCGGAGAAGGCACACAGTAGGGCCTCCGACACCAGATGCCGACAGTAGCTAGAACTTTCTTGACTCGATACTAGGGACGCTATACCACGTCAGTCTTCCGTGGCTCTTGATGCCTTTTGCTAAACGATCTCGAGTAAACGGTGAAAACTCTCAGTACGCTATTTCAAATAACTTCCGATGTCTACCAAGAGGTTTGAAACTCCTATCACGAATGTGAGCCAGAAACACCTAGATGGACTTTGGCTAAGTCACTACGTACCTCCTAGGTGATGATCGATCTAGACCCTTATATTAGTGCAAGAGTCATCACTAGATCGCTCCGGCTAGTTGCGAACGAAATAGTGTCCAGCAAACCGATCGCCTTAAGGCTTCAAAGTGGACCCCGATAGCCTGGCATTCCAAAAGCTCACTCCTACCTACAAGCTTGGCATCCGAGTCTACGACCCGCGATCGTGGTTCCGAATCGTTGGTGTGAGGGCTGCGTAATGGTAGCATACGCCTTGTGGACCTACGTTAGCCATTGATCTTTCGGCATCTCTCTTCGCAACTATGGGCTGAGGCTCGTTAGTTTGACCTAAAATCGTGACAATTACTCATCGGGGTTTAGCTGTTGACGGTACTCATTACGGGAGTTACCTCGATCAGGACGATATACAATCCGAGAGAACAGCGGGGTGTTACTTTCGTCGGTAGTTCGATACATGATCGTGTCGTCAATAAGACGCTTACACCGGATCCTATCATTATTGTCCGAACACCCTATCTAGCCATGTGCTTCTTAGATCGATCCGCCCTACGAATATCTAGGAACATGAGATCTGAGGTTCGAGATGCGGCCCGCTAACTTTGGGGCCATCTAATTCAACGTTCGGTAAACGTGACGTGCGGCCACCTCACAACAGGCCGGAGGGACATGCGAGCGGTCCCAGTAATATACGAATTCGAGTCTTTGGGCTACCCGTATTCGTGTGTGATTTAGCTCTGATGTGGATACTCCCCTGAGCCTGGGCCTTATAACGTCCACGAGGTGTAACTACCGCACCTTTTGAATCAAGCCCCTGGGCCGGCTTAGAGCATATGACTCACAAGACTCTTCCAGACTTTGATAGAGAGAAGCCTGCAACATAAACTGTAGCGCCAATCGACTTTCGAGGTCCAACACCTTACGTCTTTCACGCAGAGTCTTCTCCGGCCCCTTTCCAGTGAGTCTTAACGTTTTGTTCCCTAAGTGGCGACGTGGTTTCCTACATGAGAAAGTCGGGGTCCCTTATAGTATACTGTGTGAAGGTTTCCCACATTTATCTCTGGTTCTCTAGATCAAGATTGGTAGCTAAATGATAGTATACCTAATGTATCTAACTAGCTAGCTGTGAGAAGCACAGGGGACCACTCATTCATAACAATACTTATAGCCGTCTTTGAGAGGCGTTAATATATTGGGATCAGGGCGTGCTATTTATTGAATACTTGAGTCAACTCAATCTTGCTTGTCCCTATGTACGATCCATTCGCGTCCGTTTCTATCGAGTACCTACCCCAATACGCCCTGTTCGCGGTTCTGAAGAAGAATGCCTATTTCAATGTCGATCTTGCGAACTTCGGCCCTCTATTCTGACCGTTTGCTAAGTACTGCCTATCACGTTTACCCATGTGACTAGTCCCCTTATCACACTTCTCTTGATATCCTATAAAAATGTGATGACGATGCACAACGCCGAATACCCTGGTTAAGGTGTTGACATTATTCTATTTCACGTGTTATTCCCAGTAGTTTTGATCCAATCACATTGACTAGTATAAACAATTGTGACCCGAATATCATGTCAATATTCCCCTATCACAATAAGCCCTAACCCATAAATGCAAACAGTATCCTATAGCATCTGCCGATCGTAGGTGTCTACGAAAGCCAGCACTTGACCACCGTTCCCAGAAAATACCATAGGAGAAGCATCACGTCTGTTTCGGGTGATTCAAGCGGCTGAATGCGGCGCTATCCAATTTAGGCAGTGCGGAGGGTGGTCAAAAAGTCACGCATCGCACACCTCGTAGCAAGGCTCTGGATAGATAAGGAGGATATATCACATATCACACGTGGCAGGAAGCCAGGCGATTGGATCAATTGGTGACGTCTACATGTCTCGTGTTATCAAGACCGGCGAAGGACCGGTCGTGATGTGATGCCGTATTGAGGAAGATCTGAACGCCATTTCGTCACATGCATGTACACCTCCACAGCTGGCGTTGACCACGGCGAAGATACGAGCCAACGATTTGCGAGGGGACTGAGGCATCGTGCATTCAGTGGCGTAGTCATAGGTATATCAAGCTGGTGAGGGGCAGAGCCCGGTGCCAATGCAGGTTACCTACCTCGTCGATGATACTCAGACTTCTGAAATCCCGCTCGAAATAAAGACAGGACAGAAACAACACAGGAAAATAGTATCGTACCAAACCATGCCGCTAATCAAGGGACCCGCGATTCCAGTGGACAAGCCCAAGTACGGCAACAATGACGGGAACGTGAAGGAACCAACCGTCACCACCATCGACGATGATGCAGCTGTGCAGCCACCGCAGAAGCAGCCACGCCAGACTCTCCGCTTCGACCCTGAATACGCGCGCTGGCGCGAGCCCTTCGGCGACAAGACGCGCGTGCCAGCATGCGCAACGCCCCTAGCGCTACGTCGGTACAACGACACATTCATCCGGTTCATATACGCGCAGCTACCTACGCAACCGCACATCCAGCGGACGCGGTACACGTGCCGGTCATACGACGGCGTAGAGATCGGGATCGAGCGGTTCGCGACCGCCGAGCAGACGTCGACAAACCCCCAGCAGCAACTAAAGCCCGCGGTCCTACATATCCACGGCGGCGGCATGGTAGCCGGCGACGTGGACATCTTCGCGCCGCACATCGCGCGCCTGGCCGCTGAGTCCGGCGTCCAGATCTTTTCCGTCGAGTACCGGCTCGCGCCCGAACACCCGGCGCCGACGCCGGCGGAGGACTGCTACGCGGCGCTCGCGTGGCTGTCATCGCACGCCGCGGCGCTGGGGGTAGACGCGTCGCGCCTGGGTCTCATGGGGGAGAGCGCAGGCGGCGGGCTGGCAGCGGGCACGGCGCTCGCGGCGCGCGACCGCGGCCTGGAGCCGCCGGTCAAGAAGCAGGTGCTCGTGTACCCCATGCTAGACGACCGCACCGTAACCACGCTGTCTCGGGACGGCACGCCGCTAGAGCGCTTTGCGACCTTCTCGCTGCCCCTGGCGGCCATGTGCTGGCGGGCGTACGTCGGCCGCGACAAGGCGGGTAGGGCCGATGCGGATGTGAGTCCGTATGCGGCGCCAGCGCGCGCGGATGACTTGCGCGGGCTGCCTAGCACGTATATCGATGTGGGCGGGCTGGACATGTTTAGGAACGAGTGCACTGCCTTTGCGGCTCGGTTGGCTGCGGCAGATGTCGAGGTGGAATTCCAACTCTTCCCTGGAGTGCCTCATGCGTTCGAGGCGGCTAGCGACATTGGGATTACCAAGAGAGCCATTGAAGGGCGGATGCGATGGCTGAAGGATTTGTGATGAGATGAGATAAGAGGCATTGATTTCCTTAGGATACAGAGGTTGCTACTGGTAGTTATCATGTTGATTTCCTACTTATGAGCGACGATTTTTATGATATTGATATTTGATTTATGAGTATGGTTATGAGTACGGCTATGAAGTGTCGTTGGTAAGAAATCTTTTCTTGGGAATAGGGGTTGGAACGTCATTTGCCCTGTACGCGCTGGGGTACTGTTATCGAATTCCATGCCCTAAGTCTAACCGGGTAGACTGGATGGAGTCCGTAAGAATAAAGCCTTGGAAGGGAAGTGAGTAAAGAAATTGATTCAGTTACTATAGCAATATCCTCCCAGCCGTCCAAAAAAAAAAAATAAGTGAATTTATACAAGAGAAAGAGAACATGTAGAAAGCAGAAGAGAAGAATTAAAATAGATGCCAAAAATTTTAGATGGTTGCATATCTCAGTTTACTGAGAAGCATCAGGAATTGAGCCCGATGCGGGGGTCGAACCTTTGATGATTGTTAGCATCACGTGTACCACAATCGCAGAGGATTATGGAACTTACCCGCAACCTTGAGATTAAGAGTCTCACGCTCTACCGATTGAGCTAACCGGGCTGATTTAAGCTTGGAAAACCTGATTGTTTTCGTGTACTATATGCAAAGTGTTTGTAGAGCTAAGGCGGGGCTAGCGAAGGAAGCCGATCATACCTAACATGGTACATTAAGTAAGCCAATTATTCTCTAAGTACAATAAAATTATGGACTGAGAAAATACGAATGCTCATAACTAGCGAAGAAGTACAGATCAAAAGCATAAAAGTTCATGATTGTTGGCGGCGTTGAAATACCCTGGACCGTTCAACTTTATCTCTTGGAGAGTAGAATAGCACGTATCCAGATCATTTAATTTCTGTATATGGGTGTGTTCAAACCGAAGCTAAATCTAGAAGACAAAGAACAAGGAAAATCCTCCGTCTCTAGGAGTCAGCTGCTAGCATTGGTGAGGTCTGGGTTTGAATCATCCGTTCTAAGGATATGACCGGAAAACTAGACCAATATTAGAGTAGGGAGGTTAGACTCGATATCACATTCAATTAGAAGCTGCTGATTCAAAGGCATAACTCCCAACTCTCGAGTTCCAACAGATGTATACTCATATGACGAGTATCTTTTCTTTCTCTATCTTAGGTTACCCCTTTTCTATTTCGTCGAGTGGCATGATATATGTGCAATCCCTTATACCTATGACCATAGCAAGGTTAATCTTTCCAGGACAAACCAGAAGGGAGCAGTGAACGGTCATAGTGGCTAATAGTTCAAAAGTAATACACAAGATCATAGCTATGGTATCTGGCTAGACCTCGTGTGACACCTTATACTCACAACGTGCCCCCCTACCAACCAGGTGTGAAAAGGCATGTCATCCTGACGAGACACAAGCCGTCAACATACACACGCTCGCCCTACGAAGAAACAACCTCCTTCCCTACATCCCGCAACGCCTGCACCAAGCCCTCCACGGTGCTCTTCAAAGTCGAGCAGTTCACCACCACGCGGAACAAGCTCCCCTTTTCGCCCGGCGCATAATCCACCATGAAGCCCCTCGGCACCAGCCTCGCCACCATCTCGCTCGTCCGGCGCGTGTTCTCCTGTTTATCATCCGGCAGCACGCCGCCGGGGGCATAGTAAAAGCACACTTGCAGACACGGCGGCGGGTTCGTCGACAAGAGCACAAAGTCACCAGACTCCTGCACCAGCGTGGCGAGATACCCCGCCGTGTCAAACGCATGGTCGACGCGACGCGCGAATCCCGCGTCGCCGTAGTATACCCAGCTAAGCGCAAGGTTCAACGCGTCGCCACGTCGTCCGCACTGCAGCGTCAGATCCGCCAAGTCCCAAATCTCATCCTTCTGCTCGTCTTCCCCTTTATCATGAAACAAGTACCCGGCGCGCAGGGTATTCGCCCTCTGAAAGACAGCCACGTCGTTAGTAAGCAGGAACGAGCAGGGCACGGGCACATTCAGCATCTTGTGCGGGTTCACCGTCAGCGAGTCGGCGTGCTCGGAACCCGCTAGCTTATGCCTCTGCGTCGGCGAGAAGACGGCCGAGCCGCCCCACGACCCGTCGATGTGCAGCCACACGCCGAACTCGCGGCACACGGGCGCGATGGCCGCGAACGGGTCGTACGACCCCCAGACCGTGGTCCCGGCCGTGGCGTTGACGTACAGCGGGGTCCGGCCGTCGCTCTTGGCCTGGGAGATAGCGGTGCGCAGCGACGACGGGAGCATCTGGCCCGCTGCATCGACGGCTACTTTGACCACGCTGGCTGACCCCATGCCGCAGGCCGCGGCCGCCTTCTCGACCGAGTAGTGCCCGTGCTCACTAGTGAAGAGGGCGAAGCGGTAGCTCGCGTTGCCGGCGGTCTTGGTCTCAGGGAAGAGGGTGTTCCGGGCGATGACGAGAGAGGTTAGGTTAGATGCGCTGCCGCCTGGACAGGTGACTCCGCCGGCTCTAGGGCCGGTGAAGCCGAAGAGGTTTGCTAGCTTACGCGCGGCTGTCTTTTCGACGATCGTGAGTGCTGGTGAGGTTTTGAAGATGTGTACCTGTGCTGCATTAGATAATTTGAAAGGGAGGCTCATGGAGTAAGGGGCCTGGCTTACGTTGGTGTTGAGTACTGTGAGGACGAGCTCAGATGCCACGCCGACCTGATGTAGAGATGAGTTGCTAGCTAGGTAAGGTATGATATCCTAACGCTTAACTCACTGGGTTGATGCTCGAGTATAACTTATCCATAAACCCCTGATCCCACGTATTTACGCTGTATCGCAAGATGGTTTGGATGATGTCTAGCAACCCTTCTCTGCCGGCTCCATCCTCAGGCATGGATATAGCCAGTTTCTTCACGAGCTCCTCTGGCTTATGCGAATCTACCAAGACATTCCGACCTGGTGTCCCTTGAGCATCTGTGGCTATGTAGCCGTTCGCTCGGTTTGGGGCCGCGTTGTCTGCGTCCCGGATGAATGGCACAACGAGGGCTTTCACTGCATCGATCAACTGGGGATGAGTCAGTGATGTAAGACTATGTAGTCGAATGCATACTGTTCATTAGGGTAATTATGATAAAGTACCTAGGGACCCGACTTACATCCTCAACATCGTCTGCTCTGTTAAGTTGTATTTCTTTGGTGCTGTCATGACCGTTGACTTTCGTAAGGGAGGACATCCTAAATGATTATTGCCAAGATGATGTTAGGTTGAGGTAGAGAGATGGCCAGAATTCTTATTTGAGTGGTTGTAACTGTTGTAGCCTCTCTATAAATGAGTGCTTTCGGGCTTCCTTTTCTGTACAGATGCTTTTTCTTAATTGCCGAGACTCCACCGCGAAAGCTTTTCTGAGCTATTATTTGATGGAGGCGATCGCGTGCTCGCCAAACTTCTAATGCAATGGCTAAATAAGGAGTTAGGAGGATAGTCGTATTCCATCGTCAGTTCACGAAATAGGCTGGTGCTCAACCTCCCGCCTTACTCTATTGGATATCTCACCTTTACTGAAGCTGACGATGTCGGGGATGTTGGAAAGTGTTGATTATATAGGGGACAAATCACGAGCTGTTTTGTTGTGAACGAATGGAAATTCCGCCAAAGTCGTTTTGATAGCCCACGATATTGTATATCGATCTCATCCTAACTCTTATAAATGTAATGCAATGATTCCCGGAGTGGTCCGCAGCCGAAAGCTCACGTCGTATAATTGACCCTATTGTACGCCTGAGAAAAAGGTATCATTCAATCCGTCCGTCCGTCGCATCGTATTCTCGTGGTACTTTTAGTCAACCCGCTTTTTGGTGTCGGTCGCCTCTGCTCCATTTTGTTCGGAAGTTTTCCCATTGCTGGTTCCTATATCGCCGTCGCCTTCGTCCTCGTCCCATGCGTCTACCGCATTCTCGTCCCAGTTGTCGACTTCATCCTCTAGCGTAGCAGCCCGCTCGTTGCCTGCAGCGGACATAACACCCTCCTCTTGAGCCCCAACACCCTCGCCGAGCTCGAGGTCAGCATCGTCTTCGCCGGGGACTGCGTTGTATTGTCTGCGCTGTCGCTTCCTCTCTAACATTCTTAGGTGGTACCACGAGCACAGCCCAAGCGCCGCCAAGCTGCCGACGATGTTGGCAACGATGTCGTAAGGATCGAATTCCCGGCCGTTGGGCAGAAAGCCTTGGAGGAACTCAGAGCCGACGCCCAGACATACTGTGCATACGACGACAGTCAAGTTGAGTGTGCGACGGCGGTTCGTATCGATAATCCAGTAGAAGGCGAGGGTTAAGAGGAAGAAGGTTAGGACGTGTAGGATTTTATCGTTGACGATGGTGTTGAGCTGGAGAGAGGAGAGCCCTGCATAGCCCGCGAGGAGGCACAGCAGGAAAAAGATGCCTATGGATTAGTCTGTTAGCTCGTGACCCGATAAAATTCGGACGTGGGTAAAAGCTGAAGCTCAAGCTGTTCTCGAGGATCGTCGCTAGAAGCCTAGAGGAGCTTCTAGGGTATCGACAAACGCAGCAAGGCTACAACAAAGAGGACCAAGGATGTAGGATGTAGGACTGACCTGCAAAGGGTAGACGAATGCGCATGTTCGGGTTCACAAATGTTTAAATGTCGAGTATTTGCGTGATCATGGTTTCGAACGAGAAAGTCGTCGACTATTTTGAGTGTGAAAGTGAAAGTTGTTCCCGATAGAAAGAAAAAGGTTGGCCGGGCTGCCGGGGATGAGCTTCACTTGCCTCGCTGGGCTTTCCGACCTGATGGGAAGCAAACGGACGGACTGGGGTTTGTCTCCACTTCTTTCTTCCGTCACACATGCGCAGCTAGAGCTTAACGCCATTCACAGGCCAGGCTGAATTACCTAAGCCGGTAACTGGTACTTTTGGAGTCCGCCTCTATGGCTACACGTAAGTTGTCTTAGGTACCTTAGGTATTGTACATGTAGTTCATGCTAGTGCCCGCCCGTCTGGGATCAGCTGGGGAGATATTTCTCCACCAGCCACTTATCAGATTCATGTACTCTCCACAGCTCTGATTCCGGATTTCGGAGTATGCAAGTCTCGCTTATGTACATATATTGGGCTGCACTCGGTATCAATCTTCGAAACTTGATATTCTGAGGGTCCAATTGAAATCGTCTAGGTCCTTGCATACTGATGCTATTACTAGCTATTTGTAGATTGTGCCTTTTTAATGGCATGGATGATGTGGCTGTGTGAGAAGTATGTAGGTACTTTGAGTGGCTGTTTCTTGAATTCCAGCACGTGACTAAGGTAGCGCTGAATGCTGATTACTGATTGGGATCATTCGATTTTACTGGAAGTACAAAATTTCCTAAATTGGCTGTTTGCGGGGACTTTGGATTGTTGTATACTTCTGATCTGTATTTGATATTCAAACATATACAAGACTGTTAAGAGTTGAATGGGGGATGCACTCCCAAAAAGACACTTGAATAACATAAATAATTCATAGCTATTGTAAAGTAGTACTTAATATCATTATACATAAATGTTGCAATTTAAATCCAATGTGCTGTTAGGTTATGCTGAATATCAATGCAGATGTTGTTGTACCAT